CACAGCAGGAATTTTCTGGACTGAGACTGAATTCTTATGCAGCCCATCAGGATTTGTGTCAGCACCAGAAGCCTGATTACCACCAGCGTCATCATTAATGTCTGAAACAGCAACTACCATAGCAATTGATCCAGCACCAACCTTAGGATTAAAATCTACCCTGGAATTCTTGCCATCTTCAGCAGCACTAACAGGTTTAGGAACCAACATGTTGCTGCATATCACGACCAGATTGAGGACCATCACCACCAGCCTTGGGTTCTTGACCATGGAAGGACTTAAGACCTCTAGCATCTTCAACAGGACGAGTTTTCCTGAAAACTGAATCATTGTGACCAATACAGCGACAATTAGAGCAAAAGTCAGGACTATTTTCAAAAAACAGCGGGACAAAGAAGGCAAAGCCCTCTCTTTCCACCAGAAGTTGATTATTATGTCTTCTTCGAAGTTTACTTCAACAAGAACTCTAGCAAAATGCTGGTAAGAATGGTTCTTTGTTGCTTGATCAATTGCTATAGGAACACCTACCCCTGAAGCAATAGAAAACAGTTTTTGAAAGCCAATACACCTGCGGAAGGTCTAAGATTCTCAGCCAAACTTGAGCATATGTAATGCTTTGAGTTCTTGGAATAAAATCTGACTTCCACAAAGAAAGTCTGAGAAATCCAGGACTTAGATTCAGTGTTGTTAAATGGCGGTTATGGCATAGCGGTATGGCGGCAAAGGCCGTGTTCCTTTATGGCCGTTTGGCCTCTATATGGCGCGGGTCCACCATTTTGCATATGACGACCATTATGGCGGTAACGGCATGGTGGTTTATGGTGGCAATGGCGCCCGTTTTGGGCTTTTTTTTTCCATTTTTCCGGGTTTGGGCGTCCCATTTTTTTCCATTTTCCTGAATAGGTTCGTGGCAAAACCCTAACCCTAAAGTTTTAAAACATTGTCTCCTCCATGCATCAACGGCACACCTTCGACAAGTTCTACTACCGCCACCTCCGACGCGACCACCATCGCGCATGCGATTCTGCTCCGCTTCTTCTCCCTCTGCGAACGATTCTCTCCTTCTCCCTGTGCAAACGATTCTCTCCTTCTCCCTCTACATGCGATTCTACTCCACTCCTTCTCCCTTTGCGCACGATTTTGCACCTTCTCCCTCCGTCACAAAAGGAAAGGGGCAAGTAGGAACATCTACTAATCCTTTTAAAAGAGCCAAAGGAGTAGCTTCAAAGAACAAGGGGAAAAAGGTTGAAGAAGTTGAGGCATCAGAAGATTCTAGCAATGAGGAGGAGGAATTAGTGCCAAATGCTAATTTCATACATTCAGATGGAGAAGAAGCTAAAGGATTTTTAAATGAGCAACATCATCGTGTGGAAATTAATTATGCAAACATTGATGAGGATGAGGAGGATTAAACAAAATAGTTTTAAGAATTGTCAGTGTTTTGCTTATTTTTAACATTGTTTCTTTGTTTTGATAGCTATTTAATCCTTTTATTGGTTAGGAATTTATGTCTTTTTATGATGACTATCACTAGATTAACTTTAGATTGTTATATTGTTGGTTTTAATATATGTGTTTGTTATTTTTCTATTTTTGCATCATATTTTATAAACCCTAAACCAATCACACATAAGAAACTATATATATATATATATAATATATGTATGTATATATGTATGTATGTATATTTTGTCCACCATAGACTACCATGACATCCACCATGGCAATATGGCACTTAAAAGTCCTTGTCGCAATCCGCCGTATAACCTTACTGAGAACCTTGCTTAGATTCCAAGAACCTGCTGGTAAAACTATCCACATATCATTCATTCTACTGAAAGCAAACTCAGAAGCCTCTTCCTAGTGAGATAAGTTTCCATTCAGCAAGATTAGGCCAAAGCTGATTAAGTTTGATGCGTAGCTTCACAATCTTGAAGGGACTTTGTCCTTTTGAAAGGATGACTTCTACCTTGTAAATGAGCCTTACATTGAGCAACACCTTCCTTGTATGCTTCTTCAGGGATCTTGATGAACAAAGCATTGCCCTTCCAACATGGTTTTGGAAGGGTTGTCAAGAGAGAATCTTCGGGACACGAAGCTACCACATGGCCAAAAGATGCTTAGGTGGAGGATGTGAACAGCTATGGAGGGAGAACTAGCATGGCCAAGGACAAGAGAATTTGTCCTCCATGCCTAGCATGGGAATCCAAGTGAAAACAAGAAGAAGAAGAAGAAGAAGAATCTTCTTAGATCATTCCTGCAGTTGCCTAGACACCCAAATGTGCCAATTCTAAGTTCTCTTTTGAAATGTTTTCATCTGCACCCACCCACTTCTCCAGTTCTCTTTTTGAGGTTTCCAGTTGATGACCACATCATCAAACTTGTCTCATCAAGAGCAGTCGAGGTTTCAAGTCAAACAAACCAACATGTTCTCAAAGGGACACATTCCCTTTTCTATCTCTTCCACACCACTGTTGGTGTAGAAGTCTAAGCATCAACTCCACCAGATGACCACACCATCTTCTTCAATGGCCTCTGGTTGTTCAATTCACCAAGTTATGTCACCACCAGAGCTTCCATGAGCTACCATGGTCTGTCATGCTGTCATTTAATATTTTGGTGGTCCACAAGGTGAAGGAACATCTAGCCATCATTTTGGTAGTTGTCAGCATTGTTTGACATTACTCACTATTCTGGCAATAGGACAATAATATCGACCTTTCTTCCGGCAATGTTCATTTTTGGCTGCTGTCTGTCACTTTTCATGCCACTCTTCATGGCTGTCATGCATACCAGCCTCCACTTTTATCTTAATCCCTATAACTTAAACAATTCTTCTAAAAGCTTAAGCTATTAAATGAGCCTCCACTTTTACCTTAATCCCTATAATTTCAACAATTCTTCTAAAAGCTTAAGCTATTAAATAAGGACTCGTGTTATATATTTAACACTACCCCTCTTTGGTCTTGAAGCATGGATCATGCATAGGCCAATACCTGGTGCTTAAATTCAGCAATTATTTAGAATAGGAATGAGATGACAAGGATCAAATTCTTGATTACATGGTCATTAAGGCTGTGAAACCATGTCAAGAACCAAATTGTCCAGAGGCTTTAGTTATTAAGTAAAAACTCATTAAAAGCCTTATGTTTAAGAAGGAGAAAGGGGTTTTGAGATTCAGACATTCAGTGAAAATAAAGATACAACTTGATGAATGACCATTTATGATTATAGAAATTTCGGCTTCAGCAACAGTGATGACCTCAGGAAAAAATCAGAAAATTTCAAGTCGTTAAATCGTAATTAGCAGGGCAAAATACAAGTATTTACATAAGTTTCCTTCTCTTGTTAATTTTCACCAATGTCAAATGAACTTCATCTGATAAGAAGGGGAGAATATGAATATATAAACATTATATTTGGTGCAAGAACCACCATGGCCAGATGGCCCTTTTTTATGGAAGATGAAACACAACAACATTGCAATAGCAAATTCGTTAGAAATCTGGTATACGAGGCAATAGTGTGATAGCGCCATGATTGTTGCTATTCAATAACACCAAACTATAATGCTTAATAGAATCAATACTAATGACATGTTTCCAGTTTGAAGGCCCCATAAGACTATTTCACTTTATATGTGTGTTATGTGTGGTGCAAGCCTAAATTCAACATTGTTCTTCTAATGTTTCATTGTCAAATTCATTATTTTATTTGACATTTCGGCGCAAGTAAAGAAGCCAAGCCTTTGTGACAATTTACAATCTATGCTATACTTAGAAGCACTCAGTTGGAGCTAACTCAGCTGTCTTGAAGAAGACTTCATTGGATCAGCAGTTCATTTGGTATAAAACAAGGCGTTTGGCACATGTCCCGTGGTCTGATTAAGGGGATCCTATTATAGCTGTGCTTCACTGATGTTTTTTCATTGTTCTTTGCATTTTCTTTCTTTGTTAAAGTGGACCCTTATCCTTTAATCCATTTTGTAATAATCTTCTCATCAACTTTATGAATTTTATTCTTTTGTCAAAGATGAAAGAAAAAGAAAAGGCTGCTACAATTTATCCCTGGAATATTCAACTCATGATTTGTATAAATGGAGAAAGGAAAGAATCAACATACTTGTTCATGCCCTCGAATTTTCAGAGACGCTAGTTTAAAAAGTTCCCTTTTGAAATGGCAATCACCACTTAGGTGACCAGCTCTTATCTGTTTCACATAACCATTGAGAAAATTAATCAGATGAACTCCATCAAATTGAATATGGATAAGGGGCAAAATATCAGATAGGAACCTCGCTACAAGCATGGTGAGCACATTTCGTCCAATCCAAATTGGCAGCACGACAGTCATCAAATGCATGAATTAGCTCATGCTTTAACACCTGATCAACATCATCTTGAGATTCCATCTGGTTGCAGCACACAACTATCTAATACAAAGCCACACCAATAAAGTAGAAAGATCATATCATATTAGTATATTGCAAAGCTTTTACTTCGACCATAAAACATAATATCATAGAATTCAATTTGAATGTATAAGTTTTTATACTATCATCTCTCAAAGTCTTCTCTATACACATTATAAAGTATCAAGTCTCTTATAATATGTTTAAAGCTATGTATGACTCATCAACATTAATAAATTCTACCAATCCCCAAGCATTGCACGGATATAAAATATAGCAATAATTACTTAAAAGGCTTAAATATATTTTTGGTCTCTCAAATTTAAGGTAAATTTGTTTTTAGTCCCTCAAATTTAAAACTGATTTTTTTGGTCCTTGTAATTTCAAAAGATCTTATTTCAGTCCCTTTACTCAAATTTTGTTAGAAAATTTGTCAATTACTGTTGTATAAAATGTCCCTATTAATGAAAACATCACATTAAACCAAATGATGATACACAACTATCTCAATCTGTCACTTTTAGATATATTATTGGTGAGCTAGAGACTAAAATAAAATTTTTGAAAATTACAGAGACTCAAAATGGCAATTTTAAATTTGAGGGACCAAAAACAAATTTATCCTAAATTTAAGAGACTAAAATCATATTTAAGCCTACTTTAAAAGTCATATCTTGCATGATTTCTAATTGGTTAATGGTACAGAAATCTTTACACCAATTAACTCTAAGGGAGTGTTTGGTACACGGAAAATTTTATCATGCCAAAGAATCCTGATACCTAGGAATCATGAAAATTTGTTTGATTGGTCATAAATGTTTATGGGAATGTTTATAAATATTACTTATGAAGCAAAGATTTTTATTATATTAAATAAGCAAATAAAAGTAACATAACATTTTTATTGCATTAAAACTTCATTTTTAGTTTGGAAAAGTTAATTTCCCACTTTCCCAATGAGAATAACTTCATGAGAAACCTATGAAAAAACGATTCTCAAGTCAAGAAACAAAGTTTCGTGTGAATATTTTCTTTTTCAATAGCAAATTAAAGGTGAAAAACTAACATTCTTGATGACATATTCCCGAAAAAATAAAAACATTTTATGTACCAAACTTCCACTGATATTAAATTATTCAATTTCAACCACTATATTTGATAGTTTAGCTGCATATAATGTGAGTTAACATATTATCTTTCATAGCCACCGAACCCATGTTAATTGCACGTATAAATAAGTAGAAGGGTAATGAAAGGGAAAGAAACAAGTACCCCTTGTCCCTTGGTGTAACCACCAGCTATTCCCGTGCCATCGCATTTAACAGCCCTGATGAAATTATCTCCTACAGCACACCCAGCTTTCTCCAAGTGCTCCCTCAAGAACTTCACCTGTGGAGCTGAGACATGTAATTATCAAATCAAACGCAATCAAGGAATAAGAAATTAGAGTTTAAGAATAAGAAATTGGGATAATAGTGATAAGAAACACATACAAAGGAGACTCTTACGAATCATGCGTTGGCATTGCTCCACCGTTGCGCCGCGGTTGGGGGGAGAGTCGGAGGAAGTGAGATTGTCTTCATCCATTCTCAGGTTTGCATTTGATTTGAGATTCAGTTCAGTTGGCGGCTCCGGGTGGGAAAGGAACCGTTTCTTACTCTTAAAAGTTAAAACCCACTGGGAACAGGGAGAACTGAGAGGCTTTGGCTTTGCAATCTTTAACCAAGTTTTAAAAAAAATGGTTTGTTTTTTCTTGACTTGAATCATTTTATCTATAACATATGATTTTTTCGCTTTAATGTTTTAATTTTAGATTTTATAAGAAAATATTTCAATTACATGTATTTCGCAACTTAAATATTTATTGTATGTAATTAAAATTTATAATAAATTATATATAAAAATAAATATTATATTTTAAATTTATATATATGTATATATTTTTAAATATATAAATTATATTTTAAATTTAAATGAATAATTTATAATACGACATAAAATTATTTTTAATTATTAATAATTTATTTTTAAAATATTAAAATTTAATTTATAAATAAATATGATAAATAAAAATTAAATTAAATAAGAAATTATAAAAATTTCCAAAAATTCTTCATACCTAAAAATAATTTTGTGCAAGATAGTCTTTCCCATGTAATATTCAAAGATTAATTACTGTTCAAGTTATAAAATTATTTTTTTTATATAAGTTTCCTTGCATTGAACAGTTCATTTATTTTCTATTTCAGTTAATCAAGTAATTATTTTAAAACTGAAATAAAATAAAATATTTTAACTAATATAAAAAATTTTAGAAAATAAAGAAAATATTTTTTTTACACCAGACAAAAACTATCTTATAGTATAAGAATAACAAATTTTCTAAATATTTTTTCTTTAACACTATAAATTGTTGTACCGTAAATGCAAAAAGAAGAAAAAAAAACCTAAAAAAAGGAACAATTTGAAACTTGTAAATATAAAATACTTTCAAGTTGTGCAAAAATTCTATTAATATTTCTTTAAGTCTAAATGTCTTGTAAAACATCATCTAGTAGACGATCAAAAAAAGTCTAAGTTTAACAATCATTGCTTGACAAGTTAAGTTTCTCTCTAGTGCACCTAAACATATATATCATCTCTTTGAGAGTTATTTGTAAACACTCAACTTTTGTTTGTTTTAAACTTAAAGAGACTAATTAAAAAATACTACGTGTTATTTTGTCTTGGTCAGGATTGACATAGAGAATACTTGTTGTAAAAAGTTTCCATGTTAATGGAACCCTCTACTTTTTAAGGTAAATTGACCTAACTCGGGTTGAGTGAACTAATACAAAAATATCAAATGTTTTATGCTTTCCTTTTTTCCCTCATGCTCTTTGGATGAACTACTTTTACAAACTTACATCTATCTATTTGCAAAAAGATTTATAAAATGCATTCACACACTTTCAATTGCCTTTCTGTGTGTTTATTTTAACCTTCAAGTGGTATTAGAGCTCAGCCTCTTAAGGTTGAGCATTTAATAATGTAAGAGAAAAACAATCTAGATGGAAAATAAGGGATAGTCAACAATCCACCCCTTTTTAGAGGAGTCAAATATGACTACCAGAAGTAGAGGATGATTGCCTTCTTTGATGCATGCCATATCGAAAAGTGGAATGTTGTTGAAAACGAGGATCGCATTCCTATGAACGAACAAAATGAGAAAATCCCCCAAGCTAGATGGAAAAACAAGTAGAGACAACACTTTATTTTGAACTCTAAAACTCATAAGTCCATCATGTTTGCGCTCTTCGAAGATGAGTACACTAAGGTACACAACTTCAAAAGTGCCAAATAAATGTGGGACACTTTAGCTCTCACTTAAGAAGGGTCCACCAAGGTAAAAACACAAAAAGCTCACTTATATACGTTTCTACCTTGGTAAGATATTGTCCACTTTAGACTTAAGCCTTCATGGTTAATTTTTCTTTTAGTCATCTTCCAAACAAAAGACCTATTATCAATGGAGACATTTATGTGTATAAAAACTCATGTTCACTCTTTTGTTTTAACGATGTGAGGCTTTGATTTTCTTCCAAAAATCCTCCCCTTAAACAAAGTACCATAATTTTTAACCTTTCTTTGTAAGGGAAGCTAGTCCATAAGTATATCAACTGGTGGTCCTTAGAGCTTAATCATGCTCTATGTACTTGCAACGCCATTCTACTATGCTCACAGTAGTGTAACACAAGTCCTTACTATTCATGTTACCAAGAATACACTCCATATATGGATTCACTATTGGAAAGACTTTTGATACAAGAGATTATATGCACAAATCCATCATTGATGCCATCATACTTGTTTGAGGTAGTCACTTGGCTAAAATCGTCGGCTCCAATACTAATTGTTATGCACTAAGGGTTCACACATACACACACACACATCTCTATATTGGTAAGATATTGTGCACTTTGGGCCTAAGCCTTCATGAATTTATTTTTGATCATCGCCTAAAAGACCTCTTACCAATGGAGACATATGTGTGTTTATAGACCCATGTCTATTTTTTTGTGTTAAACGATGTGAGATTTTGATTATATCTCAACAACAACTATTATTATTATTATTATTATTATTATTATTATTATTATTATTATTATTATTATTATTATAGGATGTATACTATTCTCAATGGTCATATTAAGCTATTTTTGTGTGCATTTTAAATGTTCGTATAAATTCCCAAAGAATATAACATCTGATTATATGATAATTAATTATGTATATTTTATGTGTTATAGGTACATTTTTGTGTATGTTTCTTAATTGCTTGGCAAAATGATCCAAACCTAATACTAAGTTAGTTTAGTTAAGTTAGTGTATTAGTAATTGATTGTCCATCAATAAATAAATTAGTCAAGTAAATAAATTAGTCAAGTTAATTAAATTAGTTATAAGTTAGTGTATAGTTTTACATTGCTATCATTTCACATTTCACGTGGAGGCAAAAATAAATTTCACTTCATTGTAGAAGGGTAATGGCTATGGCTTAGGCCAAGGGCAATGACTAAATCCTAAATCTTAAACTGGTAAAAATCCTAGTTGAATAGCTTAGGCCAAGGGTCCTACTACTAGGACTATGGTTAGGAGGATACAAGAGGATTGAGCCTAAAATGAGGTTAGTGGATCTAAGCTCACCTTGAGCTATAAGTTATTAGACATTTATCTCAATACTTCCTATGTACATAAGACTTTTATTTTTGACATTTTATTATTAGTCAAGTAGTATAAGATTTTTTTTTCCTTGTATTTTCTTGGAGGTGTGATTAATGGATTGAAGGTGTAACTAGTAAATGATCTATGTAATTAATCGGATTGATTAGTGGGCCTAAGAAGGTGGCACTATCCACATGGGTTAGACATCCATCTTAGAGTAGTATACACTCATCTTAGGCTAGCTAATCCCAACTAGTCACATGTGTCATCCATTAGTCACACCATATCCTTGCTTGCCACATAACAACTTCTTATAGACTAGTTTGGATCTAAAACACATTGTGGCACATGGGTGCACGTGGCTTCTAGAGCCTAAGAGTTGGCGCCACATTTGAATTCAAATTCAAATGTGAGTGGCATGCCACTGCCACCCTAGTTAGGAGACTTTGGTTTCATCTTAACCTTGGTTTACCTAATTTGTTCCCTGAACTACACCTCACTTTCTCACCTCTTGGATATAGGCGTTACTTTTAAGTATTCTTGAGTTTGAGATCACAAATTTTCTCATTAATAGTCTTGTTCTCTTTAAGAATTGTTACTTCTACTTTAAGATTTTCATCAAGAAATTTCTACTTGTAACAATATTACTTCTTGTTTATCTTTCACTTGAAGGTAACACACCCAAACCACTCTCTTCTCTTCCATTTTTTTGTTGATTGCTTTGCATCTTGAAGCCATAGATGAAGATTGGAAGAATTAAGAATCAAGATATGGAATTCACCAATCAATTTTCCATCAAGATTCTAGCAAACCCAATTAACATAACACACAAAAATTTAAAATATTATTTACTTATTTCAAATTTATTTATCATATAAAAATAAATATTTAACTTATATAAATAAAAACTAAAATACTAGTTAAAACTAAAAGCTAATGCATTTATAAATAACAAAAATTCATATAAGATTTACATAAGACGATAACATTTTTGTCGATGATAAATAATAACTTAAGAAATATTAAATGAAAAATATGATACATTTAAGATTTATTAAAATTATATTATTTTCTTATTTTTATATAGTGTATTTATATTTTAAAATATTTACATATATTGTTTCGCCCACCCCTTTAAAATTATGACAATGGAGGTCAAACATTAGTTTAATATTTGGTATTAGAAAAAACTATTATTAGGCAACAAGTTAATAATGTTGCTCATTTAATTAGTGGAACACAATTTTATGTTGTCGCATGTATCTTTTTTATTTCATAATTAATTAATTTTCAGAGTGAAAAAGAAAATTGTGTGATAAAGTGTTGAACAACTTTTGACGTGTCATGTCATGAGGCCTGGTTTCATATTTGGTGGTCTTTAATTACATTGTAGTCAGCTAACCCTGCAAGGAATTACATTGTAGTCTGTCTCTCTAATTTGATTCACATAAGAAAATAGTTATTTTTATTTTAATTTTTAGGCTCTAGTATAATTATCAAGACCGACCAAAATTCAAGCTTTAAGTCTCCAAAATAATTTTTTATTTATAAAATTTAATAAATTAATTATATTAATATTATTTTTAATTTTTTTATTGTCTAAGTCTAGCATTATAAGAACTAGAGTTTGATTATAATATTATAATTTTTTTTATTGAAAGTTCTTTTTTTATGAATAACAGTTAATTTTCTTGTCACTCTTTCATTTTTAAAAAGGATTAGTTTCAAAATTCATTATAGGCCTTAAAATATGTTGAGCCGATAATTATAACAAATAATGATACATATATAATAAAATATATATAATTTTTAACTATATTATTTTTGTGTTTATTTTTTATCATTAATAAACTTAATAAATAACATGATAGAAAAAAAAACAAAAAGTAAGTGATATCGTAAAAATTGTTATATAATTTCATTTTATTGCACGTATATGGTTACTCAATATTCTAACATCCTATACTCGATTTATGTAACATAAATAATCAAATGATACACAACACAATGATAGGGAAAAAAAAAAGCATTCATCAATATCTTCATCCTCAAATTTACATGATTTCTATTTCAATTATCTATTATATTTATATTAAATTTTACCATTTTTATAATATTTTTAAATTATCTTTATTAAAAATATCAAAAGAAATATTGAAACTTAAAAGTCTAACATTAGAAAATATACTTTAGAAAAAATATTATTAAAAGAAAAAAATAGTTAAAATATGTCTATATTTAAGAAAGTGTATTTGTTTCTTATAATAATAATAAATAAAAAAATAAAAAACTGAGTTTTCATATTCTATTTTACTTTTTCTCAAAATTGTCACTTTCATATACAGAAGACTATGTTTCTATTTTTCTTTCCATCTCTGCCAAAATAGTGTGGATATGTTACACCATTTCCCATGACAGAGCCCTTTCCGCGGTTGATTCGCGGCCGAACGAAGGCACAACCATGGGCTGAATTCAAAGGGTCTAACAACGTTACAACCACACGTTCTCCACTCCATAACCTATAAATACCCTACCCTCCCAACCACATCTCCCACAACACAGCATTTCACAAACACAACACACAATGGCCCGCCAACACTTCCTCGTCCTCGTCGTCCTCGTAGCCATCCTAGGCGTGGCCATAGCCAGGGAATCCCCATCACCATCACCATCACCATCATCATCACCATCATCAAAGGCCCCATCACCATCACCAAAAGCCCCATCATCATCACCAAAGGCACCAACATCATCTCCAAAGGCACCAACATTGTCTCCAAAGGCATCACCTGCTCCCACTCCGGAGTCGGAGTCGGAGTCATCGTCTCCTCCTTCACCCGCCCCCGTTGCGGAGGAAGAGCCTTCTTCCCCACCGGCTCCGGCGAGCGAGGCCATCGAGTTCGGTGCACCCGCGCCCGCTCCCGGCGACCAGATGGCTGCTGAGAATCCCACATCGGCCGAGGATGAGAGTGCTGCCAGCGCCGCTTCTGCCCTCAGAGTTTCTGCTGCTGTTGTCGCTGTCGCTGCCTTCTTCGCATTCTAAGATGCTTCTTACGTGCTTCTCTTAGATTCATTCCTCTTGTGTTGTTGCACCCAGCACCTTAGTGCTATTAGTTGTGTTTGTGAAATCAACCTCCATTATTATTATTAATATTAATATTCAATCAATTAATTATTCTTTTAAAAGAAATTATTGGTTAAAAAAATTATCTGATATAATATTTATTATTAAATAATATTTTTATTTACATTATAAATATATAATACATGTTTATATTTTATTAAAAATATAAATATAAATTATAATGACATATATGATCTTATTTAAAATTAATACTAAAATATTGTGTATTTATATGTAAAATAATTTTATACATAGTAGATTGTAGGTCCCTTTGTGTATCATTTTATTATTGATTTTACTTTCTAAAAAAAATCAAAATAAATAATTATTTCTTCAAAATAAATAAATTAAACACGGTATGAATATGATTCAAGGAAAATGCTAGCAAAATATATTTTTAAGAATATTCATTTAATTAAAGGTCGTAGAAGAAGAGGTGAACAAAAAATTATAGTTTTAAGAAATAAACTTTATTTTAAAAAAATAAATTAAAAAGGGTATTTAAAAAAGGAGAAAAAAAAAGACATATTTATTAAAAAGAGAGATGCTTATATCATTTGTCTTAAATAATTCTCTCACATTTTATAGGTATAATTATTAGGCCATTTATATTTTTATATTTATATTTAATTTTATTTTATAGATATTCCTTACAATTAAGTATAAGAAATTATCTTTTAAGAAACAAATAAATTTGGGTAAAAGTCACTTTCAGTCCTTCTAAAAAAAAATTTTATTTTATAAATTTTTTTGAATTAATTTAGTCTCTCTAAAAATAAAATTTGTTGAGATCGATCCTTATTTATATTTTTTTTACGAACCAGTCTTACACACATATCTTATTAGATAAGGATTAATTTTAACAAATTTTACTTTTACGAAAACTAACTTAATACAAAAGAATTTGAAAAATAGAAATAAATCTCAAAAAATTTAGAAGGCTAAAAGACAAAAATAACTTTTATTCTATTTAATTTTATTCATAAATAACTTTTTCTTAATTACATAAGAACTTGTATACTATCTTACTTTAACAGATATAACAATACTTAAATTTAAAACAACTCATCTTACCAGCTAAAATAACTTTAATGTAAAAAATCAATAAAGAACTATTTTTTTTTATTATTTAAAACTCACTTAAGTAACTCAATTAAAATTACTTTTTTTTTTAAATAGGGGGCTAAAGCCCGATCAAATAATCATTAAATTGAAAAAAAATAGAATTATCTATTAATAACAAGTAATAAACAAAAGACGGAGAAGACTCATAAACAAAAAAGTCCTCCTCTAAAATCATCTTGCGTTTAGCAAGAAGGTCCGCAACTAAATTGACTTCTCTTGAAATATGGTAACATGAAAACAAGGAGAATTGATTACTCAGCTCTCTTATCTCTTGAACAAGGTCAAAATATGGGCGAGAATCAAAACAACCTTCATTAACAAGCCTCCTTAGAGTAGAAGAATCTGACTCAATTATCACCTAACACCTGTGACGGATCCAGAAAAATTGTTAAGTGGGGGCAATAAAATATTTTAAAATATTTTTTTATTAAAATATAATAATTTTTTTAAAAGTATATTTTTGTGATAAAAAAAACTAATATACCTATTTTTTATAAATTAAAATTTTCTCATAAATAGAGTGACAATTTCTCTTCTTCTTCTT